GCCGGTGGTGCGGCTCCGGAGAGTAAGAGGCAGAAGAAGTTGGAGAAGCGGGGTGGGCAGAGGGTGCAGTATCGCTGAGATTGTGGATTGTGTGTGGGGGGGGGGGGGGATTATGGTTGTTGCGGTTTCCTCTAGTTCATGGACTATTTGGCTGGGGTGGATTGGTGTTGTATTTAGAAACTGTATGTGGGATGAGCATGGTGTCTGGAATGAGCGGGTTACGATGGGACTTCCTTGTACGCTTTTATTGTATAGATGAAAAGTTGTTTACGTACTCATATGATCAGAGCGTCGAAATGCACAGGCCTACAGTTCGAGTATGCTAGTAGTGGGTGAGACAAGGAAGTCGATTACGGTATGGTTTATCCTAGTGCAAGTGCCGGTCTTGAAGATGGCTGGGGAAAGCGGCCTAATAAACTAGCCAGGTGTTGTACCATAGGAATCGATATATTGGTCGTGACGTACAATCGTAGGAACTATGTGGGGAATATTCAAGCTCACGATCCGACAAGATGTGAAGGTCAGGAATAGAGAAGATAGAAACATAAGGATATCAAGCACAGATGAAAAGCAAAAAAAAGAGAGAAAAGCAAGAAACAGAATACCAAATACTGTCAAGCGACAGTAGAGATCGTGTGGGTCATGGTCTTTATAACTCGGCCTCAACATCATCTTCCATGCTTTCGGTCTGTTCATCCGAGGCATCCACACCAGTCTCAACTGCGACGGGTTCGAAGTCACTTGCACGGGAGGTCAGGCTGACATATTGTGACTCCGCACTCTCCATAGCTGCTTCTACGTCCTCAGAGGCTTCGGCGGATTCTTGCTGTTCATGCGCAGGGTCTGGCACGTCGGGTGCGGCATGTGCAACAGTCGGTTCGGAAGCAATTTCTTCGGTCACCACAGAAGTGGGAGTAGTAGTCTCGTCGACTGGAATGGCTGCTGGCGTAGTCAAAGCATCGTCAACAACGCTAATTGATATCGGAGGTGCTGCCAAGGTCGATGCCGAGGATGATACCGAGGATGAGGCCTCGGATGGTCTCGGTGTCTTGTAGATGGCGCGGAGTTGCTTCATGATATCTTCGGCGAACTCAACATCTTTGCCGACAAGCAGCCCCGAAATGAGTCTCTCGATAGCCTCCTGCTCGTCGGAGCCCAGGTGACCTTCCTTGGCTTTCTGGGAAGAGAGAACTGCTGCAGCCACGCCCCATGCCGCCTGGTCAGATGCATCGAGGTTGCTAGTGCCGGCGACGTCGGCCGAATTATCCAGTTGCTCGGCGGTGAACTCCGCGGAAGCACCGTGGTTCGCAAAAGTCTCGGGGCTTGCCTGGGGTACCTCGTCCAGACTGATCTCATCAGCAGTGTCTTCTTCGGGAATGGCAGGCTCTGGAAGTGATGGTGGGGGCTCGGATCTCGTATCAAAGTTGTCGCTCGCTTCGCGAGCCGAAATCTTCCATCTGCCGACTTCCCTCAATCTCGCAAGCTCCTTCGCCGCATTCTCAGCCACAACCATTCCACGTGACAGTTTCTCCTCTGCGGCTAAGACCGCTTCTTCGACCTTAGCATGTTTAGTTCCAAAGGCGGTAAATTGATCTTTCCAATCCTCCATTTCTGCTTTGAGGGCGTGGTATCTGGCCCAGTCTTTGTAGGTAACACCATCCATCGACGCCCAGCGGATGCCCACCTCTTGAAACCCGAGATCACGAACGTTATCGAGAACCTCGAGGGTAGAGTTGACTGCGATATGAACGCGGTGCATGAGCTCATTCTCGAACGCGTTGCGCCATTCCCTGAGAGCGTGGGCACGGCCTCGGATGGAGATTGCGGCTTCTTTGACGTTCCTCAACAGCTCCTCTTGAGCAGCCTTTTCAGCTTTGGGGAGTTCTTCGTAGGGCAGAGATTCAGCCAGGGTGTTTATATGATGCTTGAGTGCGATGATCTCGTTCTCCACAACCGCCTCTAGCCCTGTGACCAATTCTTCGCCATACGCCACAATTTCTTTGGAAAGATAATCAGAGACGACCTCCTGCAAGAGCTCCTCGAGGCTTTCAAGGCCATTCTTAGAAGCGACGGCGAACTTTTCTTGCCAAGCGTGTAGGTCGCTCTCGACTCTCTCGCGTCTTTGGGCTTTCTGTTCCTCGGCCGAAAGCGTAGGTTGCGGCGGAGGTACCACGGTTGTGGATGAAGCGGTAGCAGTCTCGTACTGTGTGGTTCTCAGAGATGTGGTGCCTGAGACTGAAGAAGCAAGAACCGACTGATCCGGGAAACTCCTGCTGGAATGTGAGTGGATGACCGTGAGCTTGCGCTTCAGGGATGGGTACTCACGCATTGGCTTCATCCACGACATTCCGAGGCCCCTTTCCCTCGCGGTAACTGGCCAGTCTCTCGCCAATTTTGACGAGTTGGGGTTCTACATTCTCCCAGTAGAGATTGGCGATCCTAGGCCATAGAGTTCCCTTGATAAACTGAATAGTAGTAGACCAGGAGTTCTGCGCATTGGGCAGAATCGTGGTAGTAAGGATATCCTGCCCCGAGGTGAATGTCTTTCCGATATATGGCTGGTACTTGGCACCAAAGGGTAGAAGATAATCGACGCAAACAGATCGGACCGCGCCACTAGCCTTCCTATACGGCGGCAAGACGAGTTCCTCGGCACGCTGCACATATGGGTAGACTTCCGACAGGTACAGCGTGTTCGTCTTGTCCTTGACCGCATTCAAATGTGGGACCACTCGCGCCTCCCATTGATCCTGGCCGTACGATTGAGCCTTGTTTAATGCGGATACACCATAAGTTTCATAGCCGCGTCGAACGACGCGAGACGTGGGCGTATAGACATTTTCGTTGACGATGTGCACGTACGGACGGGCCATCTCGACATATGGCGCACCGTACGCATTATAATACGGGGTTATATGAGGCTCGAGGTGCGATCGAGCAATTAGGTACGGTTTGCAAACTCGGGGCGAGGTCCCATCCAGGTCGGAGAGCTGAGATGGACAGCGAAAGAATGGCGTTAAGAGCGCATACCATATACAGAGTCTGGCGATGGGAAACGGGAATCCCGCCAGGTCAGCGAATGTGCGACAACAAACTAGGTCCAATCAGTGAGACTCACCGGACCACCAGCCCTATCGTCCACCTAATAGTGTTCCTTTTCCGTTGCCTGGGTCTGCTGTCGACCGTCACAACAGGACGACTAGGTCCCTCCACCACAAAGCCGTTCTTCGTGGTGGCCATCGTCTCGTCTCCCATTTGCAAGGAGTGCTTGGGTCCGCAGATTTCTTATCGTGTCGTATTGCGCGTTCGGTTTGAGCGAGTTACTGGGCAGGAACGTTGGAGCACATATAAGCTTAAATCATCACGCGAGAGTAGTGAGAGTCCTCGTCGAAATAGGGATTTCGCCCCTGGTTGATGTATGACGAATGGCCGATGGTAGCTCTTCTAGGACTCGGCAGTAGAGAGACCCTGTAAAGATTCCGCACGCGCAATGGAGTCGAGAGTCTTGGCACAGGGCCTATGCACGCCGGCTGGTGGGTATCACAGAATAGATCTTTCTGGCTGCGTAGGAGGCGTAGGTGCTGCACACAAACACAAAATGAATGACGATCGAAAAGCAAATAAAACGTGGTGTCGTAGGACTCTGAGAAAACGGTAGCGGTACGAAATTAAGTGAACCCTTGGCCGCGATAATGCAGGAGCGCAATGATGTTTTGCTTAGAGATCCCTCCGCGCAGTGAGGTCATTGCTCGACGTGTGGCGCCGAAGTTGTGCACTCTTACAGGACGTAACTTCGGGATCAGCACTGGCCGGGCCCGGATGGCAGCTCTTGGCCTGGACCATCCGTACGGTAACGTATCAATTTCACATGAGCCCTCTGCAACCTACAGGATCTGGAGCACGCGTTGTGCCAGTAAAGAGATATCTGCTTCAGCCATATTGACACATATCAAGATTGACTATAGCGGCTGGGAAAGTGATGAAACTTTGGTCATGTAGATGTAGGGTTCGCGCATGCGTATGGTAAATGTCACTTTTGTGGTTATGCCTTCTTTCGGCAATAGTTTCTGGTGACATTATATATTGATGCTAAAAGGTATAAATCAACTGACGTCAGTGTGGCCGAGTGGTTAAGGCGATTGACTCGAACCTTAGTAGGTCCCATCCTTCTAAGGAGATATCAATTCCATTCGTGGGCGTAGGTTCGAATCCTACCGCTGACGGTTGTCAGATTCTTTTTGGTCCACGCTTTTTGTGGACCTTCTCAATCAGATCATGTCTACGGGTTCTTTCTGTCGTGGGAGATGTGATATTTTTACGATATAAACTTGTGATTTAGGTCCAGAGTCTACAGCGCAAGTACTCGTGATGCTGTATTGGTCTTATCAGCGTGACGGGCGAATACATGGTCTTTCCATGGTTTGGTTTGAGGGACGCATCCCGGAAATATATCAGCACAACTTCGACCTGCGAGAGATAGGGCAAGTTCTTGGGAACCTGCTCTAGAATACGGTTGCAACAAGAGAGGTAGCCGTAAAACCACCTGGCCGGAACAATCCCGAACGAATTTTCAGTAGCTAGCACACAAACGTACAATATCTGGAAGGTCTCCCCGTCTCACCCGCCGTCCTCCTTGGTAGTACGGAATATGCACAAGACTTTCATAGTCAGAGCGACGCGGCAAACAAGACCTCAGCAGCGCTGTCTACCGTAAAAACACGTAGCAGAGTAATCCCATGTTCCTGATTAAAAGGCAATCCCCTTCAAATTGCTCGATCCATGTGGAACCCATAGACCAAGCATTGGCAAGCTATAAAACTCACACCTTCTACTTCTAAACAGAAGCCTAGTACTACAGACACAAGCCCCATTCTATCGGAAGCATTAACACCCGAGTAATGCAATGGACACAAAAAGGTACCACCGAGGATCAGAAAACCATGGCACAAGCTAAAACAGCAATGTGGTATAAGAAACCCAAAAGCAAAAAGGAAATGTTTCGTCAGCGACAGGATTCGAACCTGTGCACACGAATGTATCAGATTTCGAGTCTGACGCCTTAACCACTCGGCCACACTGACTTGTTGTTGACTTTAGTGCCCGCCCTCAGAACATAGCCCCTAATTCCAGCAGACATTGATGGCATGGCTGCCTGCTGTGGCGCTGTGGCTGAGTCAGTCGCATTGCGGGAACTTGCCTGCCCCAACTTGATGTACCGCAGCACCACATCATCCCAACATCTAACCACCCAAACCTCACTTTCACCTCAACACTGGAGGCAGAACCGAGTCGCGCACCCAAAATCTTGGCTGATGCGTAAGCATCTCCCATCTACGCCAGACAGGAACAGTTTATCCACCCAGTCTTCTCCTAAAAACATATTCCGGATACACGTCGACGGTTTCCCATGCCCGACGAACATGATACTTGAGTGAACACTGAAGGACGAAAGGTCGTCGCATCGAAACTGGCCGAAAAGATGGAGTTTGCCAACGACAACCCCCGTGATTATGCTGGCTCAGCACCTTTTCCGGATCTCATGAACGACCCAGCCTACGACACGAACCACAAAGGAAAAGAAAGGGAATTTGACGAACCGGACACCTGTCGGATATGTCGTGGGGAGGGAACCCCGGAAGAGCCGCTCTTTTACCCCTGCAAATGTAGTGGGAGCATCAAGTTCGTTCACCAAGCTTGCTTGGTAGAATGGTTATCCCATTCGCAGAAAAAGCACTGCGAACTCTGCAAGACACCGTTTCGCTTTACCAAATTATACGATCCCAATATGCCACAGAGCCTCCCAGCTCCGTTATTTTTCAAACAAATCATGATTCATAGCTTCCGTACCGTCGTCACATGGCTCCGTTTCATTCTAGTGGCATTTGTCTGGCTGGGTTGGCTGCCATGGTCCATGAGAGCGATATGGAGGGCCCTCTTCTGGCTTGCAGATGGTCGCTGGACTGGTGCTGACAATAATCATCAACCCGGCATAGACTTTGTTGTAGCGAATGGCACTACCACCACTATTATTCAAGCCGCTACAGGATTATCCAGATCGACGACTTCGCAACCTAGCACCGCCGATGTACCATCAGTGCAGTCTCCGGTATCTTCCATGTTCGGTTTTGCTTCAGGTGAACCGTTGCTCTTTACACTCATCAAGAAAGCTTTCTCAGTACTGTTCTCCCCTGCAATGTCGGTCACTGGGTCTATTGGGGCCAACTCCAATATGACTGCCGCAACATACAATCCAAGACGTCCCTCATGGTTATCCGATGTCAAATTCCTGAATACCCTGACACCGTCTCCCACCATCAACAACATCATCATCGATACATTGGAGGGTCAGCTTATCACCCTGCTCGTCGTTATCTCATTCATCCTGATATTTCTCATCCGGGAATGGGTCGTACAGCAACAGCCCATGGCGAACATTGCTGAGGGAGAGCGCGAAGCAGCTGTTCAACTCATAGCGAATAACCTTCAGAACCAGCCGGTAGAGAATGCGGAGCCGGCGGAAGATGCTGCTTTACCACCACAGGATGCTGAGTTGGACGCCGAAGATCACGAACCTGCAGGAGATGACTTCCATCGTGCCTTCAACATGCCGGCAAGCCCCGCGGTTGACTTGGATCAGTTTCCTAGGTCATCGCCGCTCGACCCCGAGAGTCGTAGTGGCTTCGAATCTCCTGAGTCACAAGGCTTTGAGCCCTTGCGATCGTTCCAAAACACCGGTGAAAGTGACGGTGAAGCGGAACTGGACTTCCCATCCGAGCAGCCATACGCTCAAACCTGGCCTGGTGTGGATACCTTCAGAGACCTTTGGGACCGGGGCCATGGCGATCCCGAACAGGTATTGAGAATTGTACGCGATGAAGGCCGCCAGAATGACCTGGATTGGATTGTCAACGCCGTGAGCAAGATCCAGCGCAATGAAGATCGCCAAGACCAATGGAGACGGGACCCGCCGCTTGAAGCCTCTTCCAGCACTCACTTCGATGCTGGTATGACTCAACCTGAGGGTGCTTCAGCCCCGGAACAATTGGATGATGATCGCGCCTTACTATCAACAAGTACTAGGCCCTGGAGCTTCGCAGAGGCGGTTCAAGGCAATGCAGATATCGACAGACTAGAACGACACCCGGACTCCGATGGTTTCCGATCCAGTTCTTATCACGCCACCGAGCGTGAGCCTCCTCAGGAGCCTACACCCTCAAGCAATGATGCACCTCAGATGGGTGATCAAAATAGTGCCGCGATTCCTAACCAGGCTGATCCCGCCAATGATCACGAACAATCAAGTAACCACCCAAGTACTACTGAAGCCGCTCGGCCCATCGAAAATCACCACAAGAGCTTCGTTGCTTGCCTGCTTGATTGGTTTTGGGCAGATGTTGGGACTGACGACCAGGGCCAGGACCAGGACCAGGCTCATGACGATGACGAACAAGTAGTAGTTGACCCTGAGTTGGAGGCACCATTTGTTCCGATCCAGAACGACAGACGTCTTGCTGAGGGTGGTGCACAAGATAACCAAGGACTCATGCAGGATCCGGGCGTCGATGGCAACGACCTCGATGCGGTGGAAGATGGCGATGATCTAGAGGGAATCCTCGAGCTTATTGGTATGCAGGGCCCAATCTTCGGTCTTCTTCAGAACGGTGTATTCAGCGCCCTTCTGATCTCGTTCACGGTTGCAATTGGTATCTGGCTCCCCTATCTCTGGGGGAAAATCGCCCTTGTCCTCCTGGCGAACCCAGTGCACCTGATTGTCGGTGTTCCTATGACTGCTATATCCGTCTTCGCTGATGTCGCGCTTGATACCCTCATCGGTAGTTTGGGCTACCTAATGTATTGGGGCAGCCTGATCTGCAAGACATTGCTTGGGCCCTTCATTGCATTTGCTCCAGTGGCCGATTGGATCCCCGAAACCAAGTCCGTAACCAGCGCCTCGTTATCGCTCATTGATGCCAGCAGTTCCCGTCTACGGAACGCCCTCCAATCGTTTTTCGTGTTTCACGAATCCGACGTTCCTATGTTCTCCGTACTCTCGCACCACGCTCTCAAGATCCACCAGGCGCGCATCTCCTATTTTATTGGAACGGTCTTCTCCGTCGGCAAATTTATTTTGCACGACTTCCCCCTCCGACTTTTGAATGACGGGCTTCCCGGCGCCTTGTCTTTTGGTCGCGAGACCATCGACTTCACTGGTCTGATGATCCAAGCACGCGATCAGATCTACAGCCTGGGGAACCAGATTCTTTATACTTCAAATGGAACAAATGTCTTCATGGCTGGCCTAAACGGAACCTCGCCCAATGGCATCAATATCTCCCAAGAATTAGCTGTTTGGGATACCAAGGACCGGGTCATCGCCATTCTACTGGGCTACGTACTAGCATCGGTTGTTGGACTACTCTACCTCCGTGTCACGAATCTTCTCTCCGGCGCAGAGCGTCGCCAAAGGGTTGAGGGCCTCATCGCGGATGTGATACATCAGGGTGGCGGGGTCATGAAAGTGATTCTCATTATTGGGATCGAGATGATAGTTTTCCCGTTGTATTGCGGCTCTCTACTCGATGTTGCGCTGTTGCCATTGTTCGAGAATGCTACCATCGCATCACGCCTTGAGTTCACTGCTTCCTCTCCTCTGACATCGCTTTTTGTGCATTGGTTCATTGGCACTTGCTATATGTTCCACTTTGCTCTTTTCGTTTCGATGTGCAGAAAGATCATGAGGAGTGGCGTTCTTTGTAAGTCTACTCCTACTTTTCGCCTTCTGGCATTTACTGACCATTATGCAAGACTTTATCCGCGATCCAGATGACCCAACATTCCACCCCGTGCGCGATGTCCTGGAAAGGAATATTACGACTCAATTGCGCAAGATCGCATTCAGTGCCCTAGTGTATGGCGCGCTGGTTGTTATCTGCCTCGGAGGGGTTGTCTGGGGTTTGTATTATGGCCTAGATGGCGTTCTCCCGATCCACTGGTCTGCCACAGTCCCTGTATTGGAGTTCCCCGTCGATCTGCTATTCTACAACTTCGTGATGCCATTCGCTATTCGATCTCTCAAGCCATCTGACGGGTTACACGGCCTTTACGATTGGTGGTTTCATAAGTGTGCTCGCTTCTTACGCTTGACCAACTTCTTTTTTGGAGATAGACAGCCAGATGAAGAAGGTCGCCATGTCGGACGGAGCTATTGGGCACTGTTCTCGGCGGCGGAACCAAATGCGGAAAACTCTACAGCCAGCGGAAGTCAGGCTGCAGACACCGATGAAAAATTTGACAGCGCATCAATTGTCCGTGATGGCAGATTTGTACGGGCTCCTGCTTCGGATCAGGTCCGCATTCCCAAGGGCAATAAGGTGTTTGTGGAGGTGACCGAGAACAACGAGAGACTGGATGGGGTACCGGACACGGACCAGGGATTGCACGGCCGGGCTAATGAGATGTTCACGAAAGTCTACGTGCCTCCAAATTTTAGAACCCGGATTGCGGCCTTCATCCTACTCATCTGGGTGTTTGCTGCAGCTACCGGTGTAGGCATCACTGTTCTTCCCCTGATCATTGGCCGGAAAATCATGAATTCGAGCTTCCCCCACCGGCCAATGAATGATATCTACGCTTTCTCAACTGGCTTGAGCATTGTCGGCACTGCTGCCTACATCGGCTTCTACAGTCGGACCTTCTTTGATATGGCCAAAGAGCGGTTGGGTGTCTATCTGCAATCTCCCCAGCAGGTCTTCCTCGGGATCAAGAATGCGCTTCATGATGTCATCCGACTGCTATACGTCTTCATTGCATTCGCAGTCGTGTTACCATCTGCATTCGCTCTGATCATGGAGCTCTACATTCTCGTGCCCGTGCACACTTATCTCGGAGGCCCAGAGGCGCATGTGATTCATTTCATCCAAGACTGGACCCTCGGCGTACTCTATGTCCAGATGGCCGTCAAATTTGTGCTGTGGAACTCTAGATCCCGCCAAACTGCTGCTCTCCTTGCCACTTTCAGGGATGGATGGCTGAAACCTAACGCCAAAATCGCCACGCGAGGTGTTCTGCTTCCCGTCACTCT